AATGTGAGGACTGTACTCACTTTTGTGAGATACTGTATATGCTAGATATTTGGCTACCATAATGTGTAGATGACATCTGAAGAGAATTTAATTTAATAGAAAGTGGCATGACAGGTATACATTAAATTCTAGGAACCTTAAAGCTCAAAGCCCACACAATATAATGTGCAGACAAGTTTTGGGTGGAATGAAGCTTGGTGGCACATTCCTCAAATCATCTTGGGAATTTGAGTTTGATGTTGCTCATCGATGGGTAATGTTTGACACTTGGCCATTGCTTCATAATGATCAAGGCTCAAAGAAGACTCCCGTCTATTACGTTGTAAGTAACATGAACGCGCAATGCATGTGCACACAAACACACCCATGTTGCAGTTGTTGATTATACAATTCTACCAAAACCATGGAGAGTTCTCCATAGCTTTAGAATTGAGGAACAAATTAAATTTGGACAACTAAATAGGGGGTAAAAAAATTAAGAACATACAAATTGGACAAACTGTATCCCATTTGTAAATCTAGAACAAACCTGGAGTGATGGTTTTATCGAAGTATGGAATTTTTCCCCTGCTTTTTTCCTCCTCTCCCCCTTCTTCTGCTGGAAGACACAAGTAAGAAAAATAAAATTTGACACTGGAACATGATTCTATTATTGCACGGCACATAAACGAAAAGATTCTCTGTACAGTGAAAATACGTACAGCTGAAAAGCTCCTTTGCTTGTTCGTAAGTTTTGGGATAACCATCAAGTACATAGCCCTGGTTCTGGCATGGCATCGATTTCAGCTTGTCCCTGACAAACTTGATCACGTAGCTGTCATCGAGACGCCCTATTCATAAGAATCACAGCAACATTTATCATGTGACATTTAACATTTATATGTCTGAGATTTTTAACTGTAAGCAAGCAGGATTTATCACGAACGCACTGAAAATTAGTAAAGTAAATGACTAATTCTTTCATGATTAATTCTTATTACTATTAATGTATATTTTATTTATACAAAGCTAACAGATGTACTTACTACTTTATAGGTTTAATTTCTGCAGAGGAGGTACAATAAGTACAGTAGGTATATAGGGTATATTTTACTTGTATAGTACTAACAGTACTTAGCACTGTATGGGTACATTACAGTTTATTTCGATATTTCATTTGACTAGAACAGATCTAAAGGTGAGATTTTATAGAGTGGGGTGGAGTCAAATTCCATGAGTTAAAGGGACACTGTAGTCACCAGAACATCTACAGCTTATTGCATTTGTTCTGATGAGTAGCATCATTCCCTTCAGGCTTTTTGCTGTAAAAACTGTCTTTTTAGATAAAATGTAGTGTTTACATTACAGCCTATTGATAACTCCACTGGCCACTCCTCAGATGGCTGCTAGAGGTGCTTCCTGGGGCAGTGCTGCTCAGTGGGCAGCACTGCACCTGGAAGCACAGTGAGCAGCACTGCCATTTAGTGTCTCCATCCTCTGCATGCAGACACTGAACTTTCCTCATAGAGATGCATTAATTCAATTTGTCTCTATGAGGAGATGCTAATTGGCAAGGGCTGTGTTCAAATTGTCCTGGCTCTGCCCTTGATCTGCCACCTTGACAGTCTCAGCCAATCCTATGTGGAAGCATTGTGATTGGCTCAGACCACCACTTCTGATAATGTCAGCAGGCAGCTGGCAGGTCTGAGGCAGACAGGGCTGTGCCAGCAGCTGCAGGCTTGAATACAAGTAAGATTTTACTATATTTAGGGAGGCAAGGGGGAGCCAGGGGGCTAGATAGTGGTTTTAACAGGGTCAGGAATACAGGTTTGTGTTCCTGACCCTATAGTGTTCCTTTAAGTCTAGCTCACTGTTACCTTAAAGGTTTACTAGCCAACACTGAAGGAGAGATGCAGCTGTAAGTGTAGCATAAGTGCAGCAGTTACTAATGCCAAGGGAAAATATTTAAGTATATAGTTAGGGTAGGAGACTTCAGCCTTTTTCGCAACTCCAAAATGAGTATTGCGACTTTGTAATGAATTATACAAAAAAAAAACACTTTTTAAAAAAACAAAAACAAATTATGCTTGAGATTAATATGTATTTTTGAGAACAATGTCCATCTATTCCTCTGATTGTTAGTTAATATTTCTTTTATTTTTATAAAGTGCACATGATTAGAGTTTCCAGTGAGTATCCCATTAACACATAATGACAAATATTCCTGGAGTATTTCAGTACTACACAGAAAAACAACATGTAGATCTGCAAGCAAATAAGCTAAAATTAAAACTGCATAACAATATATATAGGTTCAAACCCTGATCATGGAATACAGTTTTCCTAATCACGTGTGTGCAACCATCTCTGCTAGACACCCAATAAACCAGGAAGCTGAAATACTTAGAAATACTTTCGAAAGTGTACTTTCACTTCAAACTATTGGAGTTTATTCACTAAACACCAACTTGGAGTTAACTGAAAACCAAAATGCCAAAGTTGGGAAAATATAGTTGATTTGGAAAAATTCAACCAACATTGCTATAGTCACAGCTTGCCTGATTTTGCAGTACGGTTTCCGGTTTACTAGAATTGTCACTTTATTACCGCTATCACATTCTCAAATTTTAGGCTGTGCACTTAAAATCTTTCTATTAAAACATCAAGAGGCAAAGATTAAATCTATAATAGCCGTGAATTCACTATGTCATTACAGTGCTATTTTAAAATGTTACGTCTAGATTTGTTTCATTACAGATACTGTGTACTGTCCAACTGACCAAGAGTGCTGGGACTTGCAGCCTACACTCACCAATGTCTATGAGAGTTGATGGAGTGATACACTGCTGTACCACGAAGCTCTAAAGATATGTGAATAGACAAAACTAGAATGGTATTGTAGTGAAAGAAAAAACGATGTGGTAAACCTCGCCAAAAATTGAATGTGTATATAGCAAAACAGTATTTATACATACACTTAGAGAGGTCCAATATTGTGTTAATATACAACCTCAATCAAAACAACCTCAATCAAAACAGAATAGGAAAAGATAATAGTGCAATATATCAAAATGTAAAAACCCAATAAAAGACTAACTCACACTCTTTAGAGCTACCAAGAGCTCTGCTGTTTAGCTTGTGGACGGTATAATATATGGGTACTCCTTGTATTAGGCATCCAATTCTCAACAACTATGTAAGGAGAAAACAAAAGAAAAAGAACCAATGGCACAGTATATTGCTATATTGGTAACAACCCCTGGATGTTGGGCTAAGGTAACATCCCCATTTGTATATATATATATATATATATATATATATATATGTTCTAGATGATTTACTGCAAACCAATTAGTTTGAATGACTATCTGTTCCTGTCCAAATTAAAGATAATAAAGTTGCGTGCACGCAGAAGTAAATTCACACTGAGACACAAGGTTCAGGGTAATGAAAGAACTTCAGAGAAGTTTAATGGCTTCTGACAGAAAATGGGTACGCAGACCCTTATAAAGGCATTATTACATCATTGAAGAAAATCAAGATATAGACAAATAGACATTGTTAATTGGCTTAGGTGCTAAGATGTTAGTAAAATGCCCTCCCCATTCTTAGGTCACTATCTACGTAATTTCTTAACTCCTACAGGTCTTAGCGCCATCTTGCTAAAATGAGGAGCTCACTCGACGGGAGGGGCCTTTTGGCAGCTATCCATTTGGAGCGTAGCTGGCACTTGTTAGTTTCTCAAGGTTAAGTTTCAAGGATTTTAGTAAATACACATTTTATCAAAGCTATTTCTTGCTGGCATGCAAATTCTATGTTCTATAGACAAAGCTTCCTTGTAAAACTATGGGGGCCTCTTAGAGGTATAGCAAGAGGATTTAAAGGAACCTTACAAATTTATAGAGGCCTAATAATTCTACAACAGTCCCCCCTAAAATGTTATTTGCTAAAAGACAAAACTTTATTTGTTAGTATCAGAAGAAGTATTAGCCCAAAGACACAGAAACCCCATGACCGCTGACTTAGTGTTAATGCAAAGTGCAAGTCTATCCCTCTCTTGACCCTAACAGGCTGCAGCACATCCGTCAGTACGGTTCAGGAACACTCTTCACTCCGCTGGTAACCCATAGTGGCTTATCCACTACTTCTCCGTACGGCAGTCTACCCATAAAGGCGGACGCTGTCCCTGTACTGTCCCTTCCTAGACTTTCTGCACTTCATCAGTATAAGGGAGAGTTTGTAGCGGAATACAGGGTGAGATGAGGTCTTGATCATCGATTGTCAGATGAGTGAAGGTTGGTGTTGCTTGGTCTACAGTTTTCTGCAGGAATTTCCTTAGGCATGGGAGGACACAACAAATGAGAAGAGCGAGAATAAAAAGAAAAATTAGTAAGGCAATACCAATCTGGACTAAAGCTCTCTGCCAACCAGTCATCCAACCAAACCATTTTTCCCAGGGATCAGTACCTCCAGAGTTTCTCTTTAACTCTTCTGAGAGTCTATTTAATTTAGCTATGGCCAGAGTGACTTTACCATTAGGACCTGTGTTTTCTGGAATGTAAGTGCAACAAGTCATAGTGTCGGGTAGTATTTTACAGACCCCCCCTTTTTTGGCTAAGATCATGTCTAAGGCCAGTCTGTTCTGGAAGGTCATTTGGGATGTGGCCTGTAATTGCTCGGCCAAGCCCTGGAGGGCATCCCTGGTGTAGTTCACGAAGCGCTGTTGGTTGTAATAGATATAATTAATCCAATTAAGGTTTTTGTTGGCAGTGACTATGGTAAAAAGTGATTCAAAACCTACAGCTACTTCATCTCTAGCTTTAAATTCATTAGGTACCCCCCTAGGCACCCCAATGGCATCTATGTAAATGTGGGGTCAAAACTGCCTTTTACTGGGGTTTCGCGCCTTACTCTGGCTGATGTATGTGGAGGGTCGTATGTGTCATGATGATTATCAGAAATAATATGAATGGGCATGATAACTTTGGCCAGGGTACACTCACCCCACCACTCAGTTTCCAGCCTAGATCTTAACTGTAGATCCCCACATAACCAGTAAATATCCCCCAATGACCTGGTATGGTGTTGCAACAGGCGTATAGGAACAGTTCTGTAAGTGGCGCAATAACCTTTAGAAAAGTTACCCATGAATTTACCAATCCCGTCATACACGGCATAACAAGTGTAATTACCTCTATAGACTGTGATTCCATCTGGTGGCTTAACATTTTCAACTAAGAGAGGGTACTCTGCCGTCCATGCCATGCAGAGGGACCTATTAAAGTCATATTGGTAGGCAAAAAGGCTTAAGAAGCAATCTTCTATCTCTAAAGGGAGAGTTAGGGGGACGGTGCCAAGGTGGGGTCGGGCACCGCCACATACATAACATGCTGTTTTATTATGTTTGTTAGCATTATACCTCATCCATTCTAACCACAGATTAATGTCATTGAATCCAGTTTCAGCGGCCATGGTATCTTCAAAAGTGGGGTTAGCGATGGCCATCATATCTTTAAAGGACTGGATATGTGGTTTTAGCGGATTTGGGACCATATGATCAGCCCCTTGCCACTCTGGAGAGTGGGACATATCTCTGAGGTAGAAATGACCTAATTTGTTGTAGGAACCTTTCTTCCAATACATTCCCATTACATATCGGTCTGCATCCTCGGGGCCAGGATGTTCAATATTTAACATTAATTTCATAGGGGTACTTCCTCCAGGCTTTCTTAAAGTCATTCTTTGAAGGAGGGATCTACCCTGATTGTCTATTTTAGATAAAGAACTTTTGGGTTTATAACCCCAGGCAGGCCCAGTATTCCATCCCGCAGCCCCCCAGTAGTTACAGTCATAACCCCATTGTTCATCTACTACATAAACATAAGGGTCTTTTGCTTGTGGTATATCTTTATAAATGGCTTGAATCTGTGACTTAGGGAATGGGCACTCTACAATATCACAGTAATCAAAAGTGAATGTAGCCACATGGGTACATGATGAATTATACCAGAAGGTGTACCCACTAGCATCTTTGGTGATGGCCACCTGCTGGGCTTTAAGGAGGCCAACTAAGGAGATAATGTACCAGAGGCACATGGTTGCATAGAGTTAGCTTCCTCTGGGGCAGGTGTCTTCTTGCAATGGGAAGCGTGGATCCAGTTAGGCCTTCCGGCCAATTTGACAGAGGTAGGGGAGATCAGGAGAACTTGGAGCGGTCCGTCAAATCTTGGTTCCAGGGTGTGTTTTCGCACAAATTTCTTGACCAGAACCCAGTCACCGGGGAGCAGACTGTGGTTGCCTGTGTCAGAATCAGGATCTGGAATTGAAGAGAAAACTTGGGCATGGATTTTGTTCAAAGCATTTGCGAGTTCAGTTACATAATCTACTAAAACATCAGTTTGAAGTTGTAGTTGTTGGGGAAAATAGCAACCTAGCCTAGGTGCAGTCCCAAATAGAATCTCGTATGGGGACAATGAGGTAGTATTTTTGTACAAGAGCATTAATTAGATCCTTTGATAAATGTGCAGGTCTGTGTGCCCATTGTACGACTGCTGGGTACAAATTCTTAGGGAGGCAGAAATTGAGGTTGTTGGAGTACACTCCATCCTTCAGAACTGCCCCTTTCTGTTTCCACTTCTGTATTTCTTCAGGGGCAACTGTAGCCTGTTGTTCCAGCAGGATTTTCAGGTCAGTTGGAAGAGTCTGCAGAGTAAATATGGGAGTTTCTTCATTTCCGGACACTCTTCTTTCCACTTCCTGTGGTTCTTTTGCAGCTTGTTTTGCAGCCTGATCAGCTAGATGGTTGCCCTTTGCTTCATCTGAGTCCAACTTCCCATGTGCTTTTATCTTCAAAATAGCCACTTCTTCTGGGAGTAGGAGGGCGTCCATCAGCTCCTTGATTGCGGAACCGTGCTTGATTGGTGTACCGGTGGTGGTAAGAAATCCTCTTGTTTTCCAAATTAATCCGAAGTCGTGAGCCACGCCCAGTGCATATCTTGAATCCGTGTAGATATTGGCGCGCTTTCCTTCAGAGATCTTGCATGCTGAAGTCAGGGCTTGCAATTCAGCTTCTTGTGCAGACATAGTTGATGGTAAAGATGATGATTTGACAATTTCATCTGTTGTGGTTACGGCATATCCTGTATGGTATCTTCCTTCTTCATCAGCATATCTTGAGCCGTCCACAAACAGGGTGAGATCGGGATCTACCAATGGGTCTTCATGCACAGTTGGTAGATGTGTTGTTTCCATTTTCATCTGTTCAAAACAGTCATGAGGTGTATCTGGGTCGTATTCATTCACTATGGTTAAATCTTGGAACTCATTCTCCAGGAAATGACGCGGCCATGCTTTTAGGGTCAGTTGTTGGATATTTGACAACACCATTTTCCTGTAGCTGTGATTCGTCCATAGTGGCCCATGCTTTTGCCATAGGCCCAAGATCATTCCATGATATTGTTTTCAACTTGGTCACAGGGACATGTGGAATGGCAGTGTCCCAATGACGGTACAAATGCTTGAGTTCCGGAGGTAGATGAATCAAGACCATACTGTTGCCTTCAGAATCACAGTAGAAGTCTTGTGCAGTGAGTTTTACTTCAACCAGCTTATAGAGTTCATCTTCATAGCAGGGTTCAGGAGTGATGTTTGGTTTGTACCACATGGTACAGAAGGCATGTCCTGCTCCGTCATGAAGGAGTGCTTGTCCATCATAAAAGGATAGGTTGGGATGCATTTCCTTCTTGATGGTGCCAGTGAGAAGAGAAACATAAATTTCGTCCATGATGAATCCGTAGTATACACCCCCCTCAGGGAGTGGCAGAAGAGTGGACGGATTGAGAACTTGACATCTTTGGAGGGTAATGTTGTCAGGCAACAAAAGATGACATTGAAGGCGAAGATGCCTGGCAGGAGTAACATGCTTAAGCTGGACCTGGTTGACTATGGCAGAAATGTCATGAGGGGCCAAGACAACCAGGGGGTGGCCAAGGACAAGATCTCCAGTTCTTTCAATGAGCTCTCTGGCAGCAAAGACGGCCCGAAGGCAAGAGGGACGTCCTCTGGCCACAATATCCAGTTGGCAGGAGAAAAATCCAATAGGCCTTTGGCGGCCTCCAGGACCATGGGCCTGAGTGAGTACTCCTGTTGCATGGCCTTGTCTTTCAGAAACAAACAATTTGAAGGGTTTGGTATAGTCTGGTAGGCCAAGAGCAGGAGCAGAAGCAATAGCACGTTTGAGAGAACAGAAGTTGTCAAGGGCTTCTGTGGACAAGCAAAATGGGTCTGACTTGAGAGCATCATAAAGAGGTTGCATAAGGAGTGAGGCTTCTGGGATCCATGCTCGGCAATAGGAAATGAGGCCTAGGAAGGCGTGTAGTGACTTCGAGGTCCTTGGAGGTGGAATGTCCAGTACCGCTCTAACTCGGTCACGGGTAAGATGTCTGGTTCCCTGAGACAGACAATGGCCAAGGAAAATAACAGTAGGTTGGCAGAATTGCAGCTTGAGACGTGAAGCTTTACATCCTTGTTCTGCTAGGTAGCAAAGAAGATTAAGTGAGCATTGTTCTGTTGTGGGTATATCATCTCCACAAAGCAGCAAATCATCCACATATTGAAGCAGGACGACCTCAGGATGGTCAGATTGCCATGGATCAAGGATAGAGCACATGGCCTTCGCAAATTGACTTGGTGAATTTTGTGCCCCTTGGGGCATGACAGTCCATGTGTACTGTTGTTTGTCATGTGTGAAAGCAAACAGATATTGGCAAGTTGGATCCAGGGGAACACTGAAGAAGGCATTGGCTAGATCAATTACAGTGAAGTACTTGGCAGAGGGTGGAACGCCGGAAAGGAGAGTGTGTGGGTTGGGCACTATTGGAGTGTCCAAAACTGTGGCTTCATTTACTGCTCTGAGGTCTTGGACCAATCTGTACTTTTCTGGTTCGCCTTTTGGAGTCTTTTTCTTTACTGGAAATAATGGAGTATTGCATGGTGATTCACATTTGACAAGAGCACCCTTCTCCAGGAGTGCTTGAATTTGAATTGTAATGGCTGCAGCTTGAGCTGGTTTCAAAGGATACTGTGATTTTCGTGGCAATTTTACGCCTGGGATGAGCTTTACCACCACAGGCGGGACCTTTAGATGGCCTATGTCCTCTGGGCCTGTGGACCACAGCTTCTTGGGAACATCAGTCTTTAGTGAATCAGGGAAATTAGTCCTTAGGTCTTTTGCATCCCCATGAGGCTCTTCTAGATGTAGCATCAGGGGTAAGGAGCACAAAGCTGAGGTGTCTGAGACAGATAGAGGGGTGGATAGTTCCACTTGTCCATCTGGAGTAAAGGTGATGGATGCCTGCAGGCGTGAAAGAACATCAGCTCCTAACAGGTTAATGGGGCATGTGGAAGATACCACAAAGCGAGCAAGCAAGTTGTGGCAGTTACCAACCCGCAGTGGGGTGGACAGGGGACTTTGCCTTGGAAGGCCGTCCACCCCAACACAGGAGACATCAATATTGGAAAGAAATGAGGTATCGGGCAGGTCTTGTTCTCTCAGAACACTTCGGGCTGCACCTGTGTCAACTAGGAAAGTGGTGGGCTGGCCCTCAATGGGTAAAATTACAGTAGCTAGAGGCCCCCCTTGTTCCCCTGAAGACACTGCCATGGCAGGGGCATTAAGCATCAGCGGGTTTGCTCTCCTCAGTATGGGCTGTGTTACTGACTCAAACCCCTTTTGTATGTCATTAGCCATAGCTTTTTGCAGTCTGAACATGTCTATCATTATAAATAATGGTTAATAGTAAGTTAAGTAAAGTTCCTATATGTCTTTGGATAAAACATTAACTATTGCGGTACTATCATTTATATCAATTAGACTATAACAATTATACCACCCTGTAACTAAAATGAATAACCAGTAGTGGCTGGGTTAATAAAACATGTCACAAACCCTTCTAATGCTAAACCATCATTTAAAGTAAAGGATGTTACTGTAAACATAAGATCTGTAACTAGCAAGATTCGATTAAGTAAAGATACAATGTTTAAAATAACTTGCATTATTTAGCTATTTCCCTTGTTGCAAGATGAAGCTGGATAATCAGCTGTTATGCTCTTATATTCGTGTCCAACAGATCTCATTTGTAGGTCACACCACAGTTGCAAATTACATTTTAGCAACCTTCTCTTTTTTTATATCACGGACACATTGTTGATACAGGGAAACATTACAACATGTCTCTAAATGGGACGAGCATAATAGGGGTAGGCCTCATGATGGAGGCAGCCATGACAGGGGCGGGGAAGGAAATGACAGCAAGGGAGGAAGTGAGATGACGTCCATGATAGGTGTGGGAAAGGAAGACAGGAGGTGTGGGCATGGTAAGGGCGGAAGTGACGTCACTTTCAACAATAC